GAATTATATTCACGCAAAACCCTTTTTCATTTTGGTTGTGTAATGTTGAAGTCGAAAGTTTAATTTTGGGAAAATGTGCTCAAAGTGTGAGATTCAAGTGTAATTATATACTCTAAAAGACTTGTTCCTGGTGGTTGTGGACCGGTGAAGTCGATCATTTGTTTGCTGGGAAAATGAGCTAAAAAATAGATTCAAGATTGCGTCAAAATTTGTAGCAATGCATGGGGGTGTAGCTCAGAGGTAGAGCATTTGACTGCAGATCAAGAGGTCCTTGGTTCAAATCCAAGCGCCCCCTTTGTCTTTTTCGGGAAATTTATTTTGGTAGAACCATTTATATAGAGCAACGACATGCACGAGGATATCAATTTGACGAAAGAGAAATCGCTCCACCTTTAAGAAAACATCGTCTATTTCTACTTTGCTTTCCCTTCATCACTAAAGAAGTATTTTTGAAAGAAAACCCCCATGAATGTCTTCAGTTTCTTTGAGATGAAAAAGAAAAATATTTACGCATTTTAAGTCACGTGAAGACTTTTCCAAAGCATCTAACTTACATACACAATTATCTGCATTTTGCATCAAAATACATTTCACTTTCCCAAATTTGTATGTAATGAATGCCATTCTGAAAATCAGATGAAATAATGTGGTAGAGGTCCAATTATATCTTCTAAAAGACTTGTTCATCGTGGTTGTGGTCTGGTGAAGTCTAGAATTTGTTTGCTGGGAAAATGAGCTAAATATTTAATCAAGATTGTGTCAAAATTTGTAGCATTGGATGGGGGTGTAGCTCAGAGGTAGAGCATTTGACTGCAGATCAAGAGGTCCTTGGTTCAAATCCAAGCGCCCCCTTTTCTTGTTCGTGAATTTTGTCATTGGCAGGACCTCTGCAAGAGTGCAAAATCATGAATAGAAGTTTCAGTTTAAATAAAGAAGAAAAATTGCACCTCTTTTGCTTGACATTTACGTTATGATGCGAGAATTTTCTTTTTTCATCTTACATACTTGTCTTTAGTTTCTTTTCGACTTTTAATTTAAAGCAATCTTCACGCTTATTTATGTCACGCGGAGACTTGTCCAAACCATCACACTTAACACACGCAACTGTTTAACTTATATTACCAAATAATCTCACTTTCCACAAATATGATGTTTTGAGTCCCATTCTGAAAATCATATTAGATAATGGGAATGAGGCCGAATTATATTCACGCAAAACCCTTTTTCATTTTGGTTGTGTAATGTCGAAGTCGAAAGTTTAATTTTGGGAAAATGTGCTCAAAGTGTGAGATTCAAGTGTAATTATATACTCTAAAAGACTTGTTCATGGTGGTTGTGGACTGGTGAAGTCGATCATTTGTTTGCTGGGAAAATGAGCTAAAATTTAGATTCAAGATTGCGTCAAAATTTGTAGTATTGCATGGGGGTGTAGCTCAGAGGTAGAGCATTTGACTGCAGATCAAGAGGTCCTTGGTTCAAATCCAAGCGCCCCCTTTGTCTTTATTGGGAAATTTATTTTGGTAGAACCATTTATATAGAGCAACGACATGCACGAGGATATCGATTTGACGAAAGAGAAATCGCTCCACCTTTAAGAATACATCGAATATTTTTACTTTGCTTTCCCTTCATCACTAGAGAAGTATTTTTGAAAGAAAACACTCATGAATGTCTTCAGTTTCTTTGAGATGAAAAAGAAATTTTTGTACGCATTTTAAGTCACGTGAAGACTTTTCCAAAGCATCTAACTTACATACACAATTATCTGCAACTTGCATCAAAATACATTTCACTTTCCCAAATTTGTATGTAATGAATGCCATTCTGAAAATCAGATTAAATAATGTGACTGAGGTCCAATTATATCCTCTAAAAGACTTGTTCATCGTGGTTGTGGTCTGGTGAAGTCTAGAATTTGTTTGCTGGGAAAATGAGCTAAATATTCATTCAAGATTGTGTCAAAATTTGTAGTTTTGGATGGGGGTGTAGCTCAGAGGTAGAGCATTTGACTGCAGATCAAGAGGTCCTTGGTTCAAATCCAAGCGCCCCCTTTTCTTGTTCGTGAATTTTGTCATTGGCAGGACCTCTGCAAGAGTGCAAAAATATGCATAGAAGTTTCAGTTGAAATAAAGAAGAAAAATTGCACCTCTTTTGCGTCACATTTACGTTATGATGCGAGAATTTTCTTTTCCATCTTACATACTTGTCTTTAGTTTCTTTTCGACTTTTAATTAAAAGCAATCTTCACGCTTATTTATGTCACACGGAGACTTGTCCAAACGATCACACTTAACACACGCAACTGTTTAACTTATCTTACCAAATAATCTCACGTTCCCCAAAAATGATGTTTTGAGTCCCATTCTGAAAATCATATTAGATATTGGGAAGGAGGTCGAATTATATTCACGCAAAACCCTTTTTCATTTTGGTTGTGTAATGTCGACGTCGAATGTTTAATTTTGAGAAAATGTGCTCAAAGTGTGAGATTAAGTGTAATTATATACTCTAAAAGACTTGTTCATGGTGGTTGTGGACCGGTGAAGTCGATCATTTGTTTGCTGGGAAAATGAGCTAAAAATTATATTCAAGATTGCGTCAAAATTTGTAGTATTGCATGGGGGTGTAGCTCAGAGGTAGAGCATTTGACTGCAGATCAAGAGGTCCTTGGTTCAAATCCATGCGCCCCCTTTTCTTATTCGTGAATTTTGTCATTGGCAGGACCTCTGCAAGAGTGCAAAAACATGCATTGAAGTTTCAGTTTAAAAAAAGAAGAAAAATTGCACTTCTTTTGCTTGACATTTACGTTATGATGCGAGAATTTTATTTTTTCATCTTACATACTTGTCTTTAGTTTCTTTTCGACTTTTAATAAGAATAAATCTTCACGCTTATTTATGTCACGCGGAGACTTGTCCAAACCATCACACTTATCACACGCAACTGTTTAACTTATCTTATCAAATAATCTCACTTTCCCCAAAAATGATGTTTTGAGTCCCATTCTGAAAATCATATTAGATAATGGGAATGAGGCCGAATTATATTCACGCAAAACCCTTTTTCATTTTGGTTGTGTAATGTCGAAGTCGAAAGTTTAATTTTGGGAAAATGTGCTCAAAGTGTGAGATTCAAGTGTCATTATATACTCTAAAAGACTTGTTCATGGTGGTTGATAATTTGTATGCTGGGAAAATGAGCTAAAAAATAGATTCAAGATTGCGTTAAAATTTGTAGTATTGTATGGGGGTGTAGCTCAGAGGTAGAGCATTTGACTGCAGATCAAGAGGTCCTTGGTTCAAATCCAAGCGCCCCCTTTGTCTTTTTTTGGGAAATTTATTTTGGTAGAACCATTTATATAGAGCAACGACATGCACGAGGATATCAATTTGACGAAAGAGAAATCGCTCCACCTTTAAGAATACATCGAATATTTCTACTTTGCTTTCCCTTCATCACTAGAGAAGTATTTTTGAAAGAAAACCCCCATGAATGTCTTCAGTTTCTTTGAGATGAAAAAGAAAAATTATTATGCATTTTAAGTCACGTGAAGACTTTTCCAAAGCATCTAACTTACATACACAATTATCTGCAACTTGCATCAAAATACATTTCACTTTCCCAAATTTGTATGTAATGAATGCCATTCTGAAAATCAGATTAAATAATGTGACTGAGGTCAAATTATATCCTCTAAAAGACTTGTTCATAGTGGTTGTGGTATGGTGAAGTCGAGAATTTGTTTGCTGGGAAAAGAGCTAAATATTTATTCAAGATTGTGTCAAAATTTGTAGTATTGGATGGGGGTGTAGCTCAGAGGTAGAGCATTTGACTGCAGATCAAGAGGTCCTTAGTTAAAATCCAAGCGCCCGTTTTTCTTGTTCGTGAATTTTGTCATTGGCAGGACCTCTGCTCGAGTGCAAAATCATGCATAGAAGTTTCAGTTTAAATAAAGAAGAAAAATTGCACCTCTTTTGCTTGACATTTACGTTATGATGCGAGAATTTTCTTTTTTCATCTTAGATACTTGTCTTTAGTTTCTTTTCGACTTTTAATTTAAAGCAATCTTCACGCTTATTTATGTCACGCGGAGACTTGTCCAAACCATCACACTTAACACACGCAACTTTTTAAGTTATCTTACCAAATAATCTCACTTTCCCCAAATATTATGTTTTGAGTCCCATTCTGAAAATCATATTAGATAATGGGAATGAGGCCGAATTATATTCACGCAAAACCCTTTTTCATTTTGGTTGTGTAATGTCGAAGTCGAAAGTTTAATTTTGGGAAAATGTGCTCAAAGTGTGAGATTCAAGTGTAATTATATACTCTAAAAGACTTGTTCCTGGTGGTTGTGGACCGGTGAAGTCGATCATTTGTTTGCTGGGAAAATGAGCTAAAAAATAGATTCAAGATTGTGTCAAAATTTGTAGTATTGCATGGGGGTGTAGCTCAGAGGTAGAGCATTTGACTGCAGATCAAGAGGCCCTTGGTTCAAATCCAAGCGCCCCCTTTGTCTTTATTGGGAAATTTATTTTGGTAGAACCATTTATATAGAGCAACGACATGCACGAGGATATCAATTTGACGAAAGAGAAATCGCTCCACCTTTAAGAATACATCGAATATTTCTAATTTGCTTTCCCTTCATCACTAGAGAAGTATTTTTGAAAGAAAACACCCATGAAAGTCTTCAGTTTCTTTGAGATGAAAAGAAAAATATTTACGCATTTTAAGTCATGTGAAGACTTTTCCAAAGCATCTAACTTACATACACAATACTCTGCAACTTGTATCAAAATACATTTCACATCCCCGAATGTTGATGTAATGAATGCCAATCTGAAAATCAGATGAAATAATGTAACTGAGGTCCAATTACATCCTCTAAAAGAATTGTTCATAGTGGTTGTGGTCTGGTGAAGTCGAGAATTTGTTTGCTGGGAAAATGAGCTAAATATTTATTCAAGATTGTGTCAAAATTTGTAGTATTGGATGGGGGTGTAGCTCAGAGGTAGAGCATTTGACTGCAGATCAAGAGGTCCTTGGTTCAAATCCAAGCGCCCCCTTTTCTTGTTCGTGAATTTTGTCATTGGCAGGACCTCTGCAAGAGTGCAAAATCATGCATAGAAGTTTCAGTTTAAATAAAGAAGAAAAATTGCACCTCTTTTGCTTGACATTTACGTTATGATGCGAGAATTTTCTTTTTTCATCTTACATACTTGTCTTTAGTTTCTTTTCGACTTTTAATTAAAAGCAATCTTCACGCTTATTTACGTCACGCAGAGACTTGTCAAAACCATCACACTTAACACACAAAACTTTTTAACTTATCTTACCAAATAATCTCACTTTCCACAAATATGATGTGTTGAGTCCCATTCTGAAAATCATATTAGATAATGGGAATGAGGCCGAATAATATTCACGCAAAACCCTTTTTCATTTTGGTTGTGTAATGTCGAAGTAGAAAGTTAAATTTTGGGAAAATGTGCTCAAAGTGTGAGATTCAAGTGTAATTATATACTCTAAAAGACTTGTTCCTGGTGGTTGTGGACCGGTGAAGTCGATAATTTGTTTGCTGGGAAAATGAGCTAAAAAATAGATTCAAGATTGCGTCAAAATTTGTAGTATTGCATGGGGGGTGTAGCTCAGAGGTAGAGCATTTGACTGCAGCTCAAGAGGTCCTTGGTTCAAATCCGAGCGCCCCCTTTGCCTTTTTTGGGAAATTTATTTTGGTAGAACCATTTATATAGAGCAACGACATGCACGAGGATATCAATTTGACGACAGAGAAATCGCTCCACCTTTAAGAATACATCGAATATTTCTACTTTGCTTTGCCTTCATCACTAGAGAAGTTTTTTTTAAAGAAAACACCCATGCATGTCTTCAGTTTCTTTGAGATGAAAAAGAAAAATACGTACGCATTTTAAGTCACGTGAAGACTTTTCCAAAGCATCTAACTTATATACACAATTCTCTGCAACTTGTATCTAAATACATTTCACTATCCCAAATTGTTACGTAATGAATGCCATTCTGAAAATCAGATAAAATAATGTAACTGAGGTGCAATTATATCCTCTAAAAGACTTGTTCATTGTGGTTGTGGACTGGTGATGTCGAGAATTTGTTTGCTGGCAAAATGATCTCAAAAAATAGATTCAAAATTGCGTCAAATCCAAGCGCTCCCTTTTCTAGCTAGTGAATTTTGTCATTGGCATGACCTCTGCTGGAGTGCAAAGACATGCTTAGGGGTACCAGTTAAAAAATACAAGAAATAGCTCCTCTTTTAAGAACACGCACATTTCTACTTAACATTTACGTTATTATGCGATTAAATGTTTTTACTACCATAATTGTCTTTAGGTTCTTTTTGACTTTTAATAAAAAATCTTCACTTATTTATGTCACGCAGAAACTTTTCCTAACCATCACACTTAACACACAAAACTATTTTACTTGTCTTACAAAAGAATATCACTTTCTATTATTTTTTGAATGCCATTCTGAAAATCTAATTAAATAATGGGAATGATGCCAAATTATACTCACAATTGCTTTGTCAATTTTGGTTGTGTTATGGTGAAGTCGAGGGTTTAATTTTGGGAAAATTTGCTCAATGTGAGATTCAAACCTGCGTCAAAGCTAAGCATATGCCATGGGGGTGTAGCTCAGGGGTAGAGCAATTGACTGCAGATCAATAGGTCCTTGGTTCAAATCCAAGCGCCCGCTTTTCTTGTTCGTGAATTTTGTCATTGGCTTATTCGTTCATGGAGTGTAGAGACATGTATAGAACTGTTACTGACGCGACAACTTATTTGTCTTTCTCGTTCCTTTTATTCCGCATATAGTTCACATCTCCGACAGCATCGTTCAATGTTCCTCCGTTCGCTCGCTCCGCTTCGCTCGCTCTCTCTCTCTCTCCACTCAGGTCCGATACTCTGCTGCTCGCTACGCTGTACTCGCTCCGTCCTTGCTACTCTGTCCGTACTCTCTATATCCACTGCTACTCTATACGATACACTCTTGTCCACTGCTACCTTATACTACACACTCTTATCCACTGCTACCTTATACTATACTCTCTTATCAACTGCTACCTTATACTATACTCTCTTATCCACTGCTACCTTATACTATACTCTCTGTTGCTCCGTCTCTGTCCCAGGCACCGTCTCCAGCTCCGACTCCAACACTCACCAAGACTCAGACTCCCGTATCTCCATATGCTCACTCCTTTATCCCCGAACCAATCAGCCCCAATTAATTATGTCATCCCCCGCTTCACTACTCGCCCCTAGGCCCCCCAGCCTCACGTGATCCTGTTATCGTTGCCAACCCGGCACCAGTCATCAGCCACTCACCCTCTTGACCAATAACCGGCCTGAGTCCTCAGTTACCCTTAACACCTGTGGTGCCTCTTAATGACCTCCCCCTTAATTGGCGCAACAACAACTGTATATCCTCAGTTGCCCCCACTGTACGCTGCACGCTTGCACCGCAACCAAATGCGTGGCGCGTGTCATCTCAGGTCCTACACATGCACGAGGAAAGCAGTTTAACTAAAGATAAACCACTCCACCTTTAAAAATTCGTCATATATTTCTACTTTGCATTCAGTTCATCATTAGAGGAATTATTTCTTAAAGACAACATTATACATGTGTAGTGTATTTAATGGAGACGCACAGTTGAACTTGGAGGCAACACGTTTATTCTCCAACCCCAACAGGGAAACTACATAACGCACAACAATAGTTAACTAGACCCCAACAGGGTAACTACATAACTGGGTCCGGCCAGTAACATACTGCCTGACCCACGATGCCGAGCGTGACGACCGAAGACAAACGATCGTGGAGACGTAGCGGGTTGATTCCAGTAGACAGCAGAGATCACTCTCGGGACTTCCCTTTTCTGCTCCTGAGCATATCCTTGCTCCCCCACTACCCTGTCCGAGTCACGTGCCCTCTTGGGTTCACCCAGACCGTCACGTCCTTACTTGCCCTCTCTCAGACCATCACTAGAACTATGCCCCCTAGGGCCCGCTTGCATGCCATACCCACTCTGGTGCCAGAGAAAGGATAAAGCCATACAGTTCCACTTTTCTAACAGTAGCTGGTGCTAAACACAATAGTGACTCCATTTATGTCACTACACATGTGTAATGAGCGACTTCCGTGACACGTCGTGTAGAGGGTACTTCTTCTTTATTACTCACACTGGGCACAACACAGGGTTACACTTATCCTTTCCCACACTGAGAACAACACTCAGAATTAACGTCTGTACTGGCTACACACAGCCGATCACTCGGCGTGGTCCCATAGTCCTCACTCAGCTATGCCACTGGCTGGCGGCGTGATGATGACGGCGATGGAAACTACTCAGGAGTTCTTCCACGTAGCCAGACAACGGAGAAAGATGCTGGCGAGCAGCGACGCAGCCAGGACCCAAGACCCCACAAACGAGCCCCGAGCCCTGGGACCACCCCCGTTTTTCCCCCCAGGTGTGGCTAAGTCCTACTTCGAGCCACACCTTCTCGTGGAACCTTCTAGCAGGTTCCCGGAGTATCTCGGCAAGCCCCACCTTTTACCTTTGCCCCAGATACACCTCATTCTCTGATTAGTTGTTATTTAACCGTGCCCATACCCGTGATTCCCCTTCCAGGCCGGCAAGTTTCATCCTGTCATTACAAGTATTGAGGTTTTTGGGGTATTTTTTATATATATATTGTGTAGTGTACTTATTCAGAGACACTAATAGGAGGCGTTATCCCTCTTGTTTATTCCGGCACTCACAACTGAAGTACCGTTGATGACGCTTGGACACCGTTGTAAGGCACACGTGTTTATTCGTACAAGTAGTCACACTGCGGACATACAATACTAGAGGGGTGTATCGGCCCCATCACCCGGATAGCTGGGAATACTCTACTAGCTACCCCTGACCTACCTCCTGGTCCTCCACTAATGGGCTAGGGGAGGCTATCTGGCCCGACACTGGTCAGTCGGGCTACGGTACCCGGAGTCCCAGAGTACTAACTCTGGTTCACGGGACCACGCCACTGGCTCGGTCCTGCGCGGCCCTGACAAGGGCGGCGTCCCAGGGGAGTCCAGGGCTCTAGCTAGTCGATCTTCTGTCTTCCCTCCTTTTACTCTAAACTCAACCCCGAGCTCTCCGGCTCATCCCCATTTATACCCCCCGGAGGATCACAACCCCCCGGGCAGCCCCCCAGGCCGCCCGGTGCGAACGTCGTTGCGGGCACCTCCCCGTGTACTCACGGAGCCCCGCCCACTGTGTTTGTTACCCGTGTGATCCTATGCATACAGCCCTACACATACAGCCCCTCTGTAACAGCCCTACACAACCATAGGGGATAACTCCATACCAGGTCGGGACAGCCAACATGCTTCCAGACCCACAGCTTGAAGAGGCAAAGACCATGACAACAGCAGCATGACGAGTTACATTCCCAATGGCAGCCGGCCCTGACTGGGAGTTGGAGCTCGCCTTTTATATTCCCCAGCGTGGCCAGGCTCCGCCCTCGGCCACGCACCCTTCTGGATCCTCCAGAAGGGTCCGGGCTTGGCCCACGGGTCCAACTGGTAGAACGGGCTGATACCCCTAATTCCATTGTCTTCCAATCTCCCAGCGCCACGCGCTACAGTGACTCATTCAATGTCACTCCACTTGTATTAAAATGCATAACAATTTCCCTAATGTTGATGTTCTGAATGCCATCTTGAAAATCACGTAAAATAATTGGACTGAGGCCCAATTATATCCTCAAAAAGCTTTGTTTATGGTGATTGTGTACTGGTGAAGTCGAGAATTTTATCATGAGAAAATGTTCTAAAAAATAAAGATTCAGCCTCGCGTCAATGCGAAACCGTAAGCCAAGGGGTGTAGCTCATGGGCACAACATTTCAAGAGTTCCTGGGTTAAAATCCAAGCCCCCTCTTTTCTTCAAAGTGAATTATGTCATTGGCAGAACCTCTTCCTGAGTTTCGATTTAAAGCTTTCGTGACTGCAGGGATTCATCTTCTTGGTTCTTTCGGTA